GAATCGGAAGTATAAGTGACATTGTGGAGGCAGCGCAGATGATATGTGAAAAGGTTAGAACTTTCTGTTATCTTTGCATCATTTTCTCCGGAATTACAATTGTTTGTAAGGACTGTGTCATTGCTTGTAAGACTGAATTGTTACTTTGGTGATGCAGAGGCTGCGGCGGCTTAGTCCGTTTTTCATCCCAAAAATATTGGTAAACATGGCTTCTGGTCATGTGAGCATGAAGTATGGATTCCAGGTGCGTTGAATTTGCAATTTCTTTTATGCAAAACAAGTATGTACATCTTTGGTTATTCAATGGTGGTTGGCTTAGAGTTATAAAATAGGAGTTTTAGTGGCAAGTTGTGGTAAATGGTCTTGAATGGGATTTGAACATACTTTTCTACTCCATTTCGTGTCTTGAATATAGGGGCCAAACCATGCTGCCGTGACAGCTTGCGCAACTGGTGCGCATTCTATAGGCGATGCCACTAGGATGATTCAGTTTGGAGATGCAGATGTTATGGTAGCAGGTGGAACTGAGTCCAGCATTGATGCTCTATCTGTTGCTGGATTCTCTAGGTAATCAATGCTCGGTCTCACACGCTTTGTCTGCTTACATAAATTGATCCTTTCTTTCTGGAAAACAAAAGGCATATATATGGTCTCAGTGTCAGCAGATTACTAATGTCCGTTTTATTAACTAGGCACTGGTACAACAAACAAAAATTTCTTAATGAAGTTTTGAACTTTTTTATGTTCAGATCAAGGGCTTTGTCAACTAAGTTCAATTCTTCACCGCAAGAAGCTTCACGGCCTTTTGATTGTGACCGGGATGGTTTTGTGTGAGTCACATTTTTTGTTTTTTACATCGAAAAAAAATATTTTTGAGATGTTTATGCCATTTCTTTTTATTTGGTTTCAGGATAGGGGAAGGTTCAGGGGTTATAGTATTGGAGGTGAGACTCTTGAGTCTTGGATAGTCATCCTCTCTTAGCTGTTTTCTTAGTTTAAAATCTAAGATATTCTTTTCTGGTTTCTGGCTTTAACAATAGGAATTTGAGCATGCAAAAAGACGCGGAGCAAAAATTTATGCTGAGCTTTGTGGATATGGGATGTCAGGTTAAGTTCATTGATAGAATAGTAAAGCAAACTTTGCATTCAGTAGATAATCCTAAAACACATTTTGAGTTTCATAAGAATGACTTCTCTTGATATTTTTAGGCGATGCACACCATATTACTCAACCTCCTGAAGATGGAAAGGGAGCTGTTTTGGCTATGACACGAGCCTTAAGACAGGTACGCTCCATATTATCAGTTATCGGCCATGGTTATGGACCTATGGTACTCCTAGAACGTTTTGTGTTGATGATCATTTATGTTTTTTTTTTGCCTTTTAGTAGATTGAATTCTAATGATTTGGTTTGAATGTCCATGACTTTGCAGTCTGGTCTGTGTCCAAACCAAGTTGATTATGTAAACGCACATGCTACATCAACCCCAATAGGTAAAAAAGATTGAGACTTTCTTGTTGGTTCTCTTTGGTATTACAAAAAATCTGAATTGCTCACTCTGTTACAAATCCAATTTCTAGGCGATGCCGTTGAAGCAAAGGCTATTAAAACCGTTTTCTCCGAACATGCTACTTCAGGCTCCTTGGCATTCTCCTCCACCAAGGTACAAATGCTTGATGCTTCTTACTCAGATGGTGTTACTGAAGATTTTGACTTACTAAACTTCAGTACACTGTTGTGGCATCATCTTTGTTGTCTCTAAATACACTATTGGCTTCTTTTGACTGAAGGGAGCTACTGGTCATCTTCTTGGAGCAGCTGGAGCTGTGGAAGCTATTTTCAGCATCCTTACTATACATCACGTAAGCGCCTTCTCATTTCTCAGTCCGTGTGTTCTTCTTTGATGATCTAGAGTTTGTAGTTTAACCACAACCTGCAAAAACTTTGTAGGGTGTTGCTCCTCTGACACTGAATATCAAGAATCCAGATCCCATCTTCGACCAGACTTTCATGCCTTTAACCACTTCAACAGAAATGCTCGTTAAGACCGCAATGTCCAATTCTTTTGGCTTTGGTGGAACAAATGCATCTTTGCTCTTTGCTTCTATCTAAAGTTTTGTATGGATCTTTCCTTGGTTGAGTAGAAAAACACTTTTTTACTTAATGATAACTTACATTAGCGAGTCCCCTATATAAAATTACAGAGAAAGATGTTCCAAATATCCCTACTCTTGCTTGCAATATCCTCTGAGCCCTTTCAAGAATATCTTGACCTGAAACCTTCTGTAAGTGGAATAACCTTTGCGGATACTTTTGCTTGCAGCTTAAGCACAGCTTCGCGAATCTCCTGCATATTGCAACCATAAGTATATGCTTAAATACATGATAAGGGATCAAAACAAGAAGTCAAATGAGACTATTACCTCTACATGGTAACGAGATGAGAAATGCGTCAACAATACAGTTTTGCTCCGGATCCACTTTGCATTCTCAATGATCTGCAATTTGTTCGTGGAAAAATGCATATTACAGTTTAGTTCTACTAGTACGAGTGCTTGAACATAGATATGATTGATCATACCTGAGATATATGAGTGTGACCGAGTGACTGCGCATGCTCATTGCTAAAACTTTCATCCAAGAACGTTGCCTGCCAGATAGATTAAGCTCAGAAGCTATCATCTGAAGCAAATGATACACAACCACACCAAAAAGATTCAGAAACTCACCTCCGTTATAAGAACTTTTGCTCTCAACGCATCAGCGTTACGAGGATCAAGCATATACTCTGCAGTTGTATCTCCAGTGAAAGCTATCTCAGGGGACAATATCATGTCTGTAATCTGCAATTAACCTCAATATCATCAAAAAAACTTCCCCTGTTCACATCACTTGGCAAAAACGGCTTTAATAAGGGAACAAACCTCAACGCCAGACTTCTTAATCTTCTCAATCTGTTTCCCTTTGAGGTGACCATACTGCTTCTTCAACTTGTTCCTCACCGAGTAGATGACATAACCCTAAGAGAAGCCAATCGTTAGAAACAGACAAAATCCACAATAACCTGGGACGTGTGTGTAGTAGTAGTAGTACCTGGCTCGGTATGACATGGTGCGTGGCAAATGGTCTAACAACAATGTCATTCCGCAACTCATATGTTTCACCTACCAGCCAACACAGAGCTCAGATTTTGCTCTATCTAACTTTAAACAGAAAAACTACTCAAAAGGCTCTTTCACAAAGTCATTACCTACATCGAGAGGTATCAGCTCAACGTTGAGCTCTACTTGACCCATAGTCCTGTGAATCTGAAGGAGCTTCTCCACATCGTCTTTAATGGACGGTGGCACGAATATCTTCGGTGGCTCAAGATTGTATAATCCACGGCTAGCTACATACATTGGTAGTCCTCCCTGAGGTTACAAAAGTATCATCATCATCAGCTCACAAAGATAAACCATATCTGAATCAATAAGAAAACAAGATTCATCTAAAAACCTCAAATTCACTCAAGCAAAATCAGAGAATCTGATTAGGGTTCCAGTGAAATCCCAATCCTTATCCATTGAACAATGTTGATTTTGAACAAGAGTGTATCGAAAGAGAGAGATTGTTGAGCTCACGATGTGATCGAGATGGGCGTGAGTGATGAAAAGGAACTTCTGCTGGATAGCGCGTGAAGGGCACCTTCCGATATCAAAGACGCATTTGAGCTCAGGGACGATGACGCAGGTCTCGTGGCCACCGACGGAGATCCCCTCGATGGCGTAGCTCTCCAATTCGACGCCTTTCCGATTCACGGCGGCGCGCGCCTTCCGGTACTCTTCTTCCTCCTCGATTGCTCGGCTAATCGATGAGAAGTAGCCGGAGACTTTGACGGGGCTCACGAAACTGGCGCGGTGGCTCTGTATCTGCGCGGCGAGCTGGTGAATCGCAGGAGGGCCATGGCGATTGAGGAAAGGGAAAATCGGAGAGATTTTGGAAGGCGAAATTGGAACCGAAAGCTGCATTGTTGTGTTATCGGATAAAGAAAAGGGTTTTACAGAGGTTTCTCTCTTTACTCTCAGCTACGAGACTGTGAGAGACGACGATAGGATCCGAAAAAGAAAAAAAATTGACATGTGACAACAAAAATTAATTTATTTTTGGTGTGTACAGTCTACTCTAACCGAACCGAACCGAACCGAACCAAAATGTATCCAACTCGAACCGAAACCAAATTTTTACGTAACCCGTACAGTACAAAACAATTAGTGTATCGAATTACTCAAACCAGACCCGAATATATATGTACTGTATATATGAACCAGTTTAGCAAAAGTAACTAATTTTAAACGATACTGTAGTGATGCAATCAATCAAAATTCGAATTACTCGCTACGGAAAAACCAAACCGAAATGAATTTCTGTTTTAGATTGATTTTCTTTTACAATAACCGAATCAGCTTCACCAAACCGATTTGGATAGACCTATTCCGTGTGGTATTAGAAATCCGATAGTGATTGAGAGAGTGGTATGGTTCGGTAATAAAACCTAAAACGAAGGGGAATTAAAATACGTGTACTATATAACAAACACATAATTTCTGGAGAGATCGAGAGACTATTTCGCAGCCGCACGCAGCTTTAGAGATAAACGTTGATCCAAATCCGAAAGAGAGAACAACAAAAAAAAAAAAGAGGAATTTGTTGAATCTCTCTTATCCTCGTCGAAGGGTTTCTTCTTCTACGCTTCATTTCCAGACTTTGATCGCTTCTTACTGGTGAGCCCTCGCCTTCTGTCTCTATTCAATTCGATTCTCGATTCCCTTATGCTCTAGATTTAGGGTTTCAGTTATTGAGTCGGCGACGTAGCTCTCTCTCTCTTTCTCCGATTGATCTTCGTTCATCAGAAATTGTTTGGTCCCGCCTGATTTGTGAAAAAAGTCTGGATTTTTATTCGAAATATTGCTTAATCCGAATTCAATTTCTGTGATTTATTGGGTTTCGATTTAATCGAATCTGTTAGTGTTTAGGTATCTGCTTTTTGATTTGCCTGCTCTGTCTTGGCTCTCTAGTTTGAGAGTGTTGTTTAGTTTTGATTTGCATGTTTGAAGAAGACAGAACATTGAACTAAAGCTACTGTATCATTTGCAGAGACGATGCCGAAGAACAAAGGAAAGGGAGGAAAGAACAGGAAGAGAGGAAAGAACGAAGCGGATGACGAGAAGAGGGAGCTGATATTCAAAGAAGACGGACAAGAGTACGCGCAAGTCATGCGTATGCTTGGCAACGGAAGGTGCGAAGCCATGTGCATCGACGGCACGAAACGTCTCTGCCATATCCGAGGGAAGATGCACAAGAAGGTCTGGATCGCAGCGGGGGACATAGTGCTTGTTGGTCTGAGAGACTACCAAGACGACAAGGCTGATGTCATCCTCAAGTACATGTCCGATGAAGCGAGGCTTCTCAAGGCTTATGGTGAGCTCCCTGAGAGCACTCGTCTCAACGAAGGTATCGGTGGTGATCTCGATGAGGATGATGATAATAACGTTGATGACTATGTTGAGTTTGAGGACGAGGATATCGATAGGATCTAAGAGCTCTTGTTTGTTTCTGTGTTTTTACTTTTTTATTTACCTTTTTCATGGCTTGTATTTTTCAATTTGAGACGCTTGGCTTCTGAGTTTACAGAAGTAAATGGTGATAAAAACCTTACTGTTGCAAGATACTTAACAAGTTTTTATGCTTTTGCATTGTGCTCTTGTTGCTTAATGTTTGGTTTTTGTTCTTAATTTTTATCCCTTTTTACTATAAAGTTGCACCAAAAAGAGAAATTTATAAACTTCTCTGCTTTTACAAGACGGTTTTGTTGAACTCTACACAAAAAAAGTTTCTAAAAACTAGTCAACTTCCTAGACTCGATTCTGATCTCAGCTTTCACCTTCCTGATGAAATCCTCACATTTCTTGTTCAAATCTTCGGAACTTAACAAACTATAATCGTCATCATCATCATCATCTATTCTGATGAGAGCTAGATCTTGAACTAACATACCCTCATCATCATCATCCTCAACATTAGCCAATGTATTTTCTTCTTCTCCTCTTAAAAGACCAACACTTTCATCTTCATCTTCTTCTTCTTCTTTGGAAGCACTTTGTTCTCCGGGTAGTGCCACTACTTTCTTCACTTCAGATTTTCTCATGTCTTTGATCTTCTCGTCTTTAGTTTCTTCAACGATGTGAATGGCATTACCGTGCAAAAGGGTTTCGAAATTCCTCATGATAAAGGCCACAATGCCATTGCATAACAAGAACATGTATTTCTTGTCCACAAGCATGGAAGCCAAATGGAGTTTTTGTTGAAGAGAAGAGATTAAGGAAGAGTAAGATAGTATCAAAGAGAAAATGGATGCAAGGGCTATGATCTTAGTGACCCTCTTCATCTTCTTCACCTCTCTTTCTTGTTTTTGAGATTCCATCCTCTCTGACTCTCTCTCGCTCTTTCTTTGTCCCCTTTGAAATGAGTTAAAAAATGTTGGTTGAATGAGAACCAAGTTTGGGGAAACCATTTCCTTTTATAGATTATTCGAATGTTCCATCTCATATAATTTCTTTACGTGTTGACTAAAATGGGAAAAAAAAGAAATTTCTTTACATATTGTCCCATATCTAATTAAAATTTACCCTTTAATTATGTGTTGAAATGGTCGTATAACTCTCATAGTTTCTAACTTCTACTTCTAGATGCGTAAGTCCACAATCTATTTTCATTTCTTTTTGTGCTAATAATATACGTTCTGTGAATTGAATCGGTGGTACAAGGACGACATTAGCATTTAGCACAAACAATTAGATTATAAATCATAGTCTTACTATATTATGATTTTAATATTTAAATTCTGAACATGATCTCTAATAAGATATTGTACAATTATTAGTGAATCGGTTTTGAGTACAATGTACTGCAAGTAGTATATACACGGTATAAGTTGTGGCAGTGTCTACTGTGGAATTACGTTTAACCATACAAAAATGAATGGAGTCGAGTCAAGTCAAGTTATCACCTTCGACGAAAATTCTTGAATAGGCTTCTTTGTTTTATTTTTGGAAAAGTCACTAATACGCCAAAAATGAAAGACCATTGACTTGATAGAAAGTCATTACTCTATGGATGTATGTCGACTTTTGTCGCATACCACTTTGTATCGACCAGTTTTTGTTGGGTTGATGAATAAAAAGAAGAAAATGTTTATAGTTAACTAAATAGTTTGGGACTTAGAAGTTACTAATGGGCCATTTAAGATGTATCATATTCATTTGATGTATCATATCATGTCAAATGACGTTTCTCGGCACATTCTATCTGGAAAAAAATGAACAAAAATTAGAGTTTAACAATCAGTCACATATATCAATCTTTTATTAGTTAGCTACTTAAATTGTACGATCGGTAAAATTTGTACGTTATTGGATTTTTATCTTCTTAGGTGATTTTAAACACTCTAAAATGTATAGAAAAAGGATTGACAGACTAGACTACTGCCAATGCATATTCACATTACAAAGGAATGAAAGTAATTAAAACTTTGAGTCTATTCAAAACATTTCCATACTAATAGAGTCATAGGGTCTATGGTCCCCCCATCCTCTTGACTGCGTCATACTCATACGTAAACAACATTCCTTTCGAGACCATTAACTATTAGCTTTGGTTAATCAAAATATTAGTTGGATAAGTATAACTAATCAATTCATACTTTCAAGGTTTTTTTGTAGCCTATATTGCAAACAATGGGAAACCTAGCTTTAGGTCTACATCTGGCGGACAAGTGGCACCTTTTTCTTTGTAGGATTTTTCATTTACTTCGTTTCCCAATTTTAAATATGCGTTTAATAATTTAAAATATATTTCCTCCGTCTCAAATTAGTCGTCATTTTGAAAAAATGTATCTGCAATACAAAACATATCCAGATATATCTAAATATTTGCAGATATATTTTGTCAAAACAACAACTAATTTGAAACAGAGGAAATAGTATTTTCTTTATCATTATAATCACACCCTTTAAAAGAAGTCTTTTATACTTAATTAATTTTCACTCAAGTTTTTTTATCAAATTTATCAACCATAAAGTAAATTGACGGAAAACTTTTGGATTGGTAAATCTAATTTAGAAAAAAAGAAAAGTTTAGAAGTTAATCTCAACAAATCTAGTTATTGTGTGTCGAGCTAAACAATATGTCTTGACATTAAAATGACAAATTTTTTTTAAAAAAGAGACAAGCTGCTAAATCTGTATCTAAGGCAGCTAACTAAGGTCTTCCCTGTTCCAACAGATTGGATAAAATTGGCCTTTCGATTGGAACATTATTAAATCACTTTAAAAACAAGAGAAACTATATACTCGAAGAAAAAGATCATAACTTTTATGTCGTAAAAATGAGTTTAGAAAGTGAAAAAAAGAAGAGGAGAGAAAAATACATGTTTTTACCAAAAGAGGTAAGATGACGCCAAGATGGTGGCACATGGCTTACCAACTTTCTATGCCTTGGAGAGTGTACTGTACAAGCTCAAAGCTCAAGGGCTTTGGCCTTTGAATTCTCCAAGAGAATCAGTTTCAGATGCTCAAATTGTTCTTTATTTGTTAAATAGATATATGTACACTTGTTTTGTGCATTAATTATCTCAAAAATATGATTTTCTTTTATAGTATGTAATCATATTAAACTAATCAGTATTATATAATTGGTCAAAATTGCATCAACCTTTAGATTATTAACTAGTTCAATATATATAGTTTCACAAGTTTCAGACCAAATTTGATCGTTTTAACAAAAAAAAATCAATAACTGTTTCGTGAAAATAATAAGAATATCCTTAATTTGACTTAAAATCCAAAATTTGTTAGAAAATGTTAACTCTATTAGACTCGTTTGGTTAGGAATGTAGTTTTGAACTTATAGATTTTATTCTTTCAAAATAAAAATTTTACTGTAGAAGTTAGTCTATAGTTTTGGAAACAAATAAATAATATGTATTTGTATTTTTTTATAAAGACTTAGTATATCATTGTAGAGGCTGTAAGTTTCCAGGGGATCTGTCTGTAACTTTTCAAGCTAATTAAAGATTTATTTTTAAAAATGACATTAAAATCTTGTAAAGGCTGTAGAAAATTCATAGATCTCTTACCTATCAGTTTACAGATTTAGTTTTAAAAACTAGTAAAACCAGATGAAAATTTAAACAGGACTAAATGAGCCGTTAAGAATCTATACTTAAATCCGTATAAAACACAAATTGATATGTTAGTATAGTTTCACGGCATCTTAGTTCCACACACACGAAGACACACATATATTTTTGTATGTACACATTTTGAAATATTTGACTCATGCTTAATTTTGCAGCAAAGCACACGAGAGTCTAAGCATATCTATGGTTGTTTTATTTGTTTAGTTAATCTATATATTAGAAATTTAACTATAATTATATGAGTAACCACTCCTCAAATATCGAAGCAAAACAAACAATGGACTGGTTTCCGGTTTTCTGTTTTCAATAAATAATAAATAAAAAAATCAATTTTGCATTTACCTTAGGTGGTATTACTATTTATAGCCTTAACATTTTCATGTTATTCCCAAAAATAGAGTTGCAACATAGCCCTTTCTGATTAAAAATCCAAACCATAGTACTTGGCTTCTTACATCAACCCACTTAGTGTATTTTTTTAATTTCTTTCTAGGGTTGCATCTATCTACAACTATTTGAAATTTAAAAATGAATTTTGAGAAGAAAAGAGAAGGAGAAGAAGAGTGTTGTTTGATTGGTTTGGCTTTAATTTTCCTTAGGAGACCTGTTTCATGGCTCTCTCTTCTCGCTCCAGCGCTTCTTCACATCCTTGGCCTTCGTTTCTTACATCTCCTCCTCACTTCTGGTGCTTTGTTCTTTTCCTATTTCTTCTTTCCACTCTCACTTCCTCCTCATATAGTTCAATCATCAAAGCAAGATCAAGAACAAGAACAAGACCTAGACTATCTTGCCACAAAAGATATCAATGGAAAGTCGGAGGATAACCTCGCAAAATCGGACGGCAACCTGGAAACGACTAAAGAAGAGGATGTAAACGGCGCAATCCCTGATGATGAGAGCCTTATTGAACTCTCTTTACCGAGTGGTCAGTATTTAGGTCATCACTATACTAGTAACAAGAACAATCTCTATGTCAACAGCAAAGTCCAAGATTTCAGGCTCTTTGATCTATTTACAGAGTTCAACGATTTCACTGAAGAAGATAATCTTATCGAAATCGATATCACTATTGGATCCATCAAGTATTCAAGGTTTGAGATCAAAGCTTAATGTATTTTACATTCAATGCTTTGTAGACCTTTTTTTTCCCTTTCGTGGGGATTTCCTATAATTATTATCTGAATAAAACTCGGAAGTGTAAACTAATTTTACTACTTTTTGCACTATATTGTGCTCTCGGACATGTAAATTAACTTTAGTACGTTTTGTGTTATGTTGTTAAATCAATTTGGTTTATGAAATATGCCTTTGTTGCGTAAATCTAAGTGAACTTTACAATACGACCATCATACTCCATTATGTAAAATGCTTTTTTGGCAGTAATGTGACACCACTAATATTTAGGTAAGAAGATCGATGCAACCAATGCATAATCTTTTTTTTTTTTATTAAACTTTCCAAATTTTAAAAGTTAAATGTTTTTGTATGACTGGTTCTAACTTGTCTGTAATTTTTTTTTTTTTTTTTTAAAAACGGAATAGAAAACATTTTATTATAAATTGGAAACGAAGAAACTTGAACAATATATAGTGAAGCTGCTGATTCTGTTGCAAAACATTGAAGATTTAAAGAATCTAAAAACAGTACTATCAGAAATCAAGATTAAACAGTGAAACTCAAATATTGGTGTTTCTAAGATATATTAGTCTAACATCAAACAAGAGAGGACTAAATTTATTTCATAGTAGTCCAAATGTTCATAATAATATTAGCTTGCTTTTCCATGTCAACACCGCTTCGCCATGGATATGCTCGAAGATATTTTCGTTTGAAACATATTCATAGACGAGGACTGGACCTTGCGTCTCCAAACAGAGTATTTCTGTTTTTGTTACCTTTTCCCTTTTTCACCTTTGTTTGGAGACGCAAGTACCACTTCTCCTCTATGAATACGTTTCAAACGGAAATCTCTTCGAGCATATATATATCTACTTTCCAAGAAAAAAAGAAGATTTCTTGGTAGGAAAAAAGAAGGTATTTTTGGAAAGTGTTTGTGAGGAAGAAAAGGTGCAATTTCTACTTGTGTCATCTTCCTCGTTATATAGCCCTCAATCTTTACACGCACAGAAGTGAATCTCTTCCTCATTTATTGGATCGTGTTGTTTCTTTTTCCTTTCTTTACCAAAATCAACTCGATCAGCCTGAAAATTTGGTACGTCTAACTTGTAAATTGAATTACAAGAAGCATGTCTCATGACTCATGAGTGTATATATATATCTTTGAAATTTTCTCTTTGCCTATAAATGTATATATTAATGTACGAGAGAAAACAAGTCTTCCATAGCCGAGCCAAACTTTGAATACTGCGCCAAGATTTAATGGAAAGTTTCATGCAACGAAATATTTTGATTCACTACTATTGATCAGTCTCTGTCTCCGACAATACTGTTATGTTCAAAGCCTAATCGAGAAGACAATATGGTCTTTGTTCAAAGCCTAACGTAACGGAAAAGACAATATGGTGTTATGTTCAAAGCCTAACGGAGAAGACACGTACGATGGTTGTGTAATGTTCAAATTAAAGCCTAACGGAGAAGACATATGGTGTTTATGTTCTCTTTGCCTATGTAATAATGTACGATCGAGGAAAACAAAAACAAATATATCACAAGTCTTCCATGATCACCATGCCAAACTTTGAAAACTGAAGTTTCATGCAACGTTAACGAAAGATTTTAATTAATTAATCATTATTATTAATGTTCAGTCTCTGTTTCCGACATTGTGTATATGTTCGAAGCATAACGGAGAAGACAATTGTGCCATGTTCAAACTTCAAAGCCTAACGTAACGGAAAAGACAAATACAATGGTGTGTTCAAAACCTAACGTAACGAAGAAGACAGAGGCGTTATGTACAAACTTCAAATTTCAAAGCCTAAAACCGGTTAAACAGATTGTATTTGGGATTCGGTATCATAATTCCAAGAACCGGACATAGTACGGTCTAATCTGGTTAAGCTTCGAATTGACTGAGGCCCAGTAAAGACCCAGATAATACACTTCACTGTTGGAAATGTTCAAATAAAATAATTAGACATTAAAGGCCCATTAAAGGCCCACTAAAGGCCCAGATGCCATGGCTCCTCCTTTTTCGCCTCATCCCCAAAATTATACACAGAAAAAGATAAAAAAGAAGTTGCAGAAAAACCAGAGGAAGGAGACGACGACCAACACCACCACGAACCTAACCTCCTCTTGAATCTCTCCGGCAATTCCATGGCTGTACGATCTCTCTTCATTTTCCATATTCTTGATATTTGAATTGTAACTTTTATTTTATTTTTTCCCCTGTGATTGCTTTGTTTCTTCTGATTCTCTGGTCTCACATCTCTTGATTTCGTTTATGTGGAATTACTCAGTAAATTTCATAACCTCTGTTGAATGATGATGCTTTTTTTGTTTGCTTCTGATTGATTGATTGCTCATTTTTAAACATGATTTGCTATGAGATTTACAAAATTTTCTCTCGTTTTTGTCTTAGACCTGGAAATTTCCAAAGCCTTAAACTTTTTTTTGTTCTGTTTTCATAAATTTTTTTGAGTTTTTGTTTTGTTGAAATCTTGGATCCTATAAATGTTGGTCGCTTAAACTTATGCAACCAAATTTGGAACAGTGTATTAGCACATAAATGAGAAGAATGTATAGAGTAACTCTCTTGGCCATGCAATATCTAAACCTAAATCATACAAGACAAGCTTTTGAGTATTGATGGCTTTAGAGACTCGTTTTTGGGTTTTGTGTGTAGGACAAGGGCCGTCCATTGCCAAAGTTTGGAGAATGGGATGTGAATGACCCTTCATCAGCTGAGGGATTCACTGTCATCTTCAACAAAGCTAGAAACGAGAAAAAAGGTGGTGGAAAATCTGACTCGCCGGGGAAAGATGAACCTGGATATAATAAAAATGGCCAGGTTCTTGGCAAGCCAACAGTAAGTTCTTGATTCATCATATGTGAATTTAAGAAAAGTAAATAGTTGAGAGGTCCAATATTAATTAGTGTTGTTTTTGTTATATAATTGACGAGATGTTTTCTTGCAGAAAAAATGGTTTTGCTGTATACAATCCACTCGCACAGAATAGGTGGAGAGAGTCTGTGTATGCCTTGGGAAGGTCGTTTTCTATCATCTATATCTAAAAGTCATACTACTGCGTCAAGAAGACTGGAGCTTTGTTCTGAGAAGGAGCCATGACAGTCACTTTGGATGGATTCTGGTCGGAGATGTTTCAGAGTGGTGTGTTTGTGTGTGTTTAGCGACTCCTCTTTGGGTGCAATGAATGATGATGAATGTATTCTTTAGATAAACAACATTTTCGTTTTCTATGTATTGGTGTGTACGGGTTTATGTGGTGTTTGTTGTGTTCTTCTTCTTCACTTGTGAGAGTTATATGAACCACTTTATATTTGATATATCACTTTGTTGATTTTGGTTTCTTTCTCCATGGATTGTTGTTTTCAAGCTTCCTTAAAAAACAAAATTTATTTGATGCTTTTACAGAAAAT